TCGCGGCTGAGACAGGGGAATGGCTCCCCTGCCTTCTGAGGTCAGCGGCCTACCAGGTAGGCGACGCTCCCTCTCCCGGCCTCAGTTCTTGTGTCTCCAAAACCCGAGCCAGAAGAGGGCTTAAGAGCAAATTTACCCAGCGCGAGTCGCTCGAGATCGCTGGCCCCGACTGGCCTGACCCCGGTGTAGGGTCGGCGGGGCCCGCAGGGTCGCAGCGATGGACTCACTGGCAGCACCCCAGGACCGCCTGGTGGAGCAGCTGCTGTCGCCGCGCACCCAGGCCCAGAGGCGGCTCAAGGTGTGTGTGTGTGTCTGTGTGGAGAGAGGGTGGAATGTGGGTCATGTGTGCACGCGCTTGGCCAGGACCACCCAGCTACCAGAGAACGTAACAGGGGCTCCCAGGGCAGATGTCCACTAAGGATGGGTGCAGGCACCGCAGACCCTGCGGCGGGGGAGGCTCGGTACTGCAGTCTATAAATAGCCCCTGCTCGGATGCTGCTTCAAGAACCACCACCCCCAAGCTTGGATCTGGGCCAAACAAGCCACCCACCCCGGATACTCTGGGGATGAGTTTGTGCTGAGGTCTGGCTGCTTCCACCTATGGAGGTCCTTGAATGTGTCTGAGGGGTCTCAGAACTGATTCCCACCATCCACCTGGAGGGACACCCCTGTGCGGCTGACATTCCTTCTTCTCCACCCCAGTCTTGGGTCTCTGCTGGGGCTGGGGCAGGGATGCTTTTCCTGCCACCCCCTCACCTCCCTCCCTCCTTCCAGCCTTTGCTCCACAGCCCTCACCCCATTTTTGCTGAGGAAGTGCCCCTTGCTGGGGCTATGCTATCTGCTCATCTGAGCCATATAAGAGACAGGGTCTTGGGTTGCCACCAAAGATCTAGGATATACCTCTGACCTGCCCCAATCCTACCCCTGCCCTCAGGACATCGACAAGCAGTACGTTGGCTTTGCCACACTGCCCAATCAGGTGCACCGAAAGTCAGTGAAGAAGGGCTTTGACTTCACCCTCATGGTGGCTGGTGAGTGACCAAACTTCTGGGTGGAGTCTCTGAGGCCATGGGTCAGCTCAGATCTAACCCAGCTCTTTCACTGTCCCCTGTGGCCAGGTGAGTCGGGCCTGGGGAAGTCGACTCTTGTCCACAGCCTCTTTCTGACTGACTTATACAAGGACCGGAAGCTTCTGAGCGCTGAGGGTGAGTGGCCAACCATACAGTCCTCACTAATGTGCTCATCCCTGCCCTGAGAAACCTCACAGAGCACCCTTCCACTCTGCTTGAGGCATGGGTTCTTATTTGGGGATGAGGAGTGGCCCAGAACATAGAGTCAGGCTGAGACTTAGGCGAAGGCACCAGGGTGGGTAAGAATAAGGCTCCCTGCTGCCCCCCCCAAAAGTGAAGGTGAAGATGGCCTGAAAACACTGTCTCTCCTTCCTTCCTCTGCAGAACGCATCAACCAGACAGTCGAGATTCTGAAACACACCGTTGACATTGAGGAGAAGGGAGTCAAGTTGAAGCTCACCATTGTGGACACACCCGGCTTTGGTGATGCTGTGAACAACTCTGAGTGGTAAGGAACAGTTTCTCTGCCCCAACCACCACTACCTAGCCTGCTCTCAGAGCTGGCTTCATTCTTCCTCCACTTTCAGTTGGAAGCCCATCACCGACTATGTGGACCAGCAGTTTGAGCAGTATTTCCGAGATGAAAGTGGCCTTAACCGGAAGAATATCCAAGACAACCGGGTGCACTGCTGCCTGTACTTTATCTCCCCCTTTGGACACGGGTATGTGGCCGTCCCAGTGCCTGGCTCAGGGTGGGTGTTCCTATCACTGCCTCCGACAACGCCAGTCTCCAACCTATCTCTGCAGATTGCGGCCAGTGGATGTGGGTTTCATGAAGGCCCTGCATGAGAAGGTGAACATCGTTCCACTTATTGCCAAAGCTGACTGCCTGGTTCCCAGTGAGATCCGTAAGCTGAAGGATAGGGTGAGTCTTCGACAGCTAAGGGGGCACCTAGCCAAAAACTACAGGGGAGCTGGTCCGTGCTGAGTTTAACAACTCTTGCCCTACTACTGCAGATACGGGAAGAGATTGACAAGTTTGGGATCCATGTGTACCAGTTTCCAGAATGTGATTCAGATGAAGATGAAGACTTCAAGCAACAGGACCGGGAACTGAAGGTGAGCAAGTAGCCAGGAGGGGTGAGGGCAAAGGAGGTTGCTGGGACAAAGCACTGGAGGCCACCCAGGCCCTGGGGGAAGGCTAAGCACCCAGGTCCAGCATGATCAAGGCAAGAATCATTTGTTCCCTTGTCCCAAGGGCTACAGGTTAAGGTCACATGTATCGCTGTCTAGTCTGCAGTGAATTGTTTGGACCTCCCCTGGGCTTACTAGAGCACTTAATTGGTACCATTCTGGCCCGCTTTCCAAGAATCAGCACAGTGGCTCAGAGCTGTGTCAAGCCCTACTTGCTGAGATTCTGTGCTCTAGAGGGCAGAGGGTGGTGGCTTTGAATATCCTAGAGACTAGAAAAGGTATGACACAAAGATAAGCCAGGAACTCGGAGCCCCTGGGCCAGGAGCAGATGGGCAGGGGCATCCACCAGTAAGCCTGGTCTTGACTTTGACTTGAAAGATGGAGGAAATTCTGGGAACCATTCGTAGCCAGAGAAGTGCACAGTCTGGCAGAGCCCCAAGGCTTTGAGCTATGCAGAGTTTGTGGCTTTAGTGGGTAACAGAGGCACCCAGAAGCGGGGCCATCCCAGTTGGAAGGGTGGTGGTGGCCGTGCTGGAATGGCCATGCCCCCTCAGCCTCTTACAGCACTGGGCGGGTCTCTGCTCCCCCTTCCCCAGGAAAGTGCGCCCTTCGCTGTTATCGGCAGCAACACCGTGGTGGAGGCAAAGGGGCAGCGGGTCCGGGGACGACTGTACCCCTGGGGGATCGTCGAAGGTGAGTTGAAGCAGGGAGGGGAGCGCTGGGTGCGGAGAAGGAGGCTCCCGCTAAGCCGAGGCCTACCCATTATCCGCTCCTGCCCCACAGTGGAGAATCAGGCGCACTGCGATTTTGTGAAGCTTCGAAACATGCTAATCCGAACTCACATGCATGACCTCAAGGATGTGACATGCGATGTGCACTACGAGAATTACCGTGCCCACTGCATCCAGCAGATGACCAGGTGGGCCATCCTAATGGAGTTGATTTCCTACCCTGGCCCTGGCGCCACATACACCAGAACTTTGTCCCAGTCACTAGATAATCCCAGCATCTTGATGTTGGCAGGAACCAGCCAGGCATCTCCCACCCTCCTAACCTGAACCTCCCAACAGCGCAGCTCTCTCATTCCACAGCAAACTCACACAGGACAGCCGTATGGAGAGCCCCATCCCTATCCTCCCGCTGCCCACCCCGGATGCGGAGACGGAGAAGCTCATCAGGATGAAGGATGAAGAGGTGGGTGAATGCGGGGCGGGGCAGGGTGGGGCGGGGCGGGGAGTGATTGCAAGTGAAAGGGCAGGG